ATTCTTCTAATTTTCATATTTTCAAATATTTCTCGACATTGATGCATCTGAGTGTAAAAGTGTTAGATAGCAATGTGTAAAGGGTAAAATTTGCTAAAACTTTTGTTCTAAAAGTTTTTCTGTATCATGCTCGGAATCACGTTTTTTTCCATTAGCAACTTGTGAAACTACGAATTCTTCTAATTTTCATATTTTCAAATATTTCTCGACATTGATGCATCTGAGTGTAAAAGTGTTAGATAGCAATGTGTAAAGGGTAAAATTTGCTAAAACTTTTGTTCTAAAAGTTTTTCTGTATCATGCTCGGAATCACGTTTTTTTCCATTAGCAACTTATGAAACTACGAATTCTTCCAATTTTCATATTTTCGAATATTTCAGTCTGCTAACAGGATACTACGACAACGTAATGAAGATGCCAGGTGAGATCTTGGCGAAACGTACCCCTTTCCAAAGAGAACCAACAGGAAGAACGGATGAAATCCCGGACTTGCTGTGATCGGCAACACATAATATATTATATATCATTTAGTAGTTTTTTTGTAATTTTCAACTTTATCTATCATTTTTCATCTTTACATCTACTGTATACAAAGCAATTCTCTTTTCAAACAATTTATAATTGTTAAATCGTGTTTTAGTACCTTATTGTTAACAGATCATAAATAATGAAGTAATTTCTACTGGGATTTTAAAAGGATGTTTTTTTTCGTTACCATCCTTTTTAATTAAATCGCTTGCAATTAACGCGTTGGTGAAGCACAAAATAAATTCCATTTTTCCTCGCGAGCTTGAAAGTAAATTAAATAAAGTTGTTTTATTTGTAAGCGTGCAGAAAGAGATGAGTGGAGATGAGCGTTACGTATTTTTCAAATGAAACAATTTTTTAGTCCGTTAAAATTTTTTCCATGTAATTTTTCTTTGAAACTGTTCAATTCCTCATCGGATGCGTTAATATGTAATCATTAAGAGCATTTAATTAAGTGATTTAGTTTTAGTTGAGAAAGAAATTTGGACGTCATCACATCTGGTAGTAATTAAAAATAATCAACGTCAATGAATATCAAGGTTTTTTCAAAAATGAGAATTTTCCACGATTCATTTTGCTTTTAGATAAAAATCTCTTCTCATATACATTTTTTTTTTAATAATTTCTTTTGTACTATTCAATTGAGTTCTCGTTAACTAACAATAAATATAATTCTGTCGAAGGCCTCCCAATGTCATTTCTTCATGCAAACACTCCCCAGTAACATAAATATGTATTAAAGCGACATCGAATTGACCGACAATACATGTCTTTGTGATCCTTATTCGTTAGCTTTATTTTATTTACTCTTTCTTTTTTTGTTGTGCCGATGAGAGAGTGAATCAACCCCTTTAAGAATAAAAAAGTTTTCGCCAAGGTCTTTGATCTTGAATGGAGGGGATTGAGAATGGGGGGCGTTTCGCGTGTGTGCACCCGGGGCCCCCGAAACGCGGACCGAATCGAAAGTAGGCGGTTTTAAAAAAATTTGCATTTGCCGCTTCCATGAATCCAACCGTGTGCCCCGTGTGGAGTGTGTTCTGTATTAAAATTAACGTGCGTAACCTTCGCGGTCGACGTTTGTATTTTTCGTTTCTTTCCTGGACTACGTAGGACGGCTTTTGACCTCACAAACAATAAAAGAATGTTTTAAGAAAAAAAATGTTGAAGCTATAATATGAATTTTAATAAAAACTTTTTAGCTTTGGTTCAAACAAATTCTTAAGCTCACTTTTTCACAAATCTATCTGGTATTAAGATTTTCAATGCGACAATTCTCAGATTATCTTGACATCATTTGAGTTAATTTGATTGTTATCGAGTCGACTTAATTCATTCGTCATGCAGATTATTTTTGAGTCAATGGACCCGTTCAGCCGGCGCAACACTTAATAAACTGAGAACGCGTTTTATTTATGTAGATTATATGTTGATAACATTTTACTCGAATTATTTGATAAAGGCATTAATCACATTTTCTATCAATTAATTGGCAATGATTTGCAATACCCTCATATCAGCTGGCTGCATAATTTGGGTTATATTTAGGATTAAGGTAAATATTAATTAAAATTGTATACTATGGTGATTATTTATATATTTGTCTTACTAGTTTCGGTTACATTACCGTCTTCAGAGACCTCTACAAAGGTAAGTATAAAAATTATTCATAATTATATTTTTATAGGTTAACAAAAGAGGGACTATTAATTGTAAAAAACACTTACGTTAACTAGTTTCTATAAACATTGGGAAGTGAATGTTTGCTTATCATTATATCTATTCATGCACTAAACTACAACTATCTATCACAAAAACTAATATTAATAAATAAACTNAATCAAAAAAAGTTGTTGGCAAAGTTTGTTTAGAATTGTTTCAGGAACAATTTTTGTTAACACAATTTTTTTCTAACTTGAAATTTTAATTTCCCACTGAACAGTATGGTATTCTTTTAATCAAGATTTTCTGAGAACGAGTGGAGGGGGGAAATCGTTTTGTTACAAAAGTTCCGTGCCCTGGTGATGACAAAAAAGTTGTTGAGAGTTGCTACCGTCCTAGGTACTAGTTCCAGAGTCTTAATTTATCTGAATAATGTAATGATAATACTAATCTGAATACACGAGAAAATTAAGTATCTTATCAAAATTTTTGTCTATTTTTTTCAGCTTTATATGCACCGAGTAATTTGACAATATCAGAATCCGCAGGTCGTTTATGGTTATCATATACTGTTCACCATACAGAATGTTTTATTCTTCAAATAATTGAGGTGTTTTTGAACGGCGTCCATTCACAAACTATCAGAACAATGCGTCCAGACTTTCTTATTGATCTTCCAAAACCTTGCACGGAAGTACGAGTTTTCGTCAGAAGCACAGATGATAGTGGAGTTGAAACCAATGCAATTTCGGCAACATATTTGACAGAGATTCCAACCGAAAACTTTGGACTTGAAAATATGTGGTGGATGAGAGATTCTACTAGAATCATCGTTACATATTTTCCAGCTTATCCTTATCAAAACTGCAGATTTAATTATGAAATGTATTACACTTTTATGGACACTAATATTGTAATACAAAACACAACGACAACTGAATTAATCCGTAAGTTTAATTATGTTGAGCAAAGATTGTTATGTAGAGTGATTACGATGCATTTAACGCCGATTCTTAATGGGAATAGAGGTAGAACATGGACTGAAAATGCTGTTACTGATCGGTTTACCCCTGATCCCGGTCCAGCTTCTGCTCTAACATTTCAAATTAGCAACGTTTTAAGAATAACTTGGAGACCCCCAGTTTTCTACGAAGAATGCATAGTTGTTTATTATGGGGAAATAGCCAACGTTTCAACCGGTGAAATTTTAGGAACTTTTAGGGATATTGAAACCGAATGGATTTTTGATTATGCTCCTCACATACATCACACCACCACTCTTTCTATAAGAATTACTCCAAGTTTCCTTGGTGTTTTTGGACCAAGTGTTACAACGTTCGCAACATTATCACCATGATTAAACTAAATGTAAAAGTGTTTATAATAACAAAGAAACAAAATACTAAAAATAAAATTTTGTTTGCATTTATCTTGGACTTTTATTTATGTAGGTTAAAGTAAACAAAGGTGGGAAAAAAGATCACACCATATTATGATGCATGATAAAAGATTATTACAATATATTTCAATAATATTGGTTTAACAGAAACATTTATTGAATTATTTACAAAACTGTGTAGACATTGATGATGATTTATTTCTTTGAATGCGAGTAACGTGAAGACGAAACGGAAAAAGAAAGGTTCGAGTATTTTTGGATTGAGTAGGCATTCCTAAGAAAAAAAATTGTGTTGACTCATTTCGAAATTTGATATTAGGAAAATGTAAACTGGCACGTGTTCTACTTATGATTAAATTATTTGCAAAATAAATATTTACTTGATTGCTGTTAATTCTGGTTTTCCAGTTTGTTATATTGTGAAAAAAAGAATCTTTTGTTTAGAAATATATACAGTAAAACCTCGATATAACGGATTAATATAACGAAGGATCCATTATAGTCAAAAGTCCATTAAAGTTTATTCTCCATTATTATAGTTCTAGTATTAGTTCTAGTTTTGCATGTTATTCAGTGCTAGATTCCAAGTTCACAAGTCCGGTTTAGCTGTATTGAGTGAGTCTAGTGTTAGTTCTAGTTTTAATTGTTATTAAGCGTTAGATTGTTGTATATTTTTATTGAATAACAAGTAGAACTAACACTAAACCTAGAACTAGATATTTTGCGAGATGCACGACTAAGCCCGTGAAAATTCTTCTAATTTTCATATTTGCAAATATTTCTCGACATTGATACATCTGAGTGTAAAAGTGTTAGATAGCAATGTGTAAAGGGTAAAATTTGCTAAAACTTTTGTTCTAAAAGTTTTTCTATATCATGCTCGGAATCACATTTTTTTCCATTAGCAACTTGTGAAACTACGAATTCTTCTAATTTTCATATTTTCAAATATTTCTCGACATTGATGCATCTGAGTGTAAAAGTGTTAGATAGCAATGTGTAAAGGGTAAAATTTGCTAAAACTTTTGTTCTAAAAGTTTTTCTGTATCNTTTATTCTTGGTGGTGTTGCTAGATCTGAAGGATAAACAGATGTTATATTGTCTATATATTTTTTGAATTTTATGGGAAATTTTTCCTAAATTAATTCTACAACGGTGATATGGATAAACAAATACATATTATATTTAGGAGTAAAGCACAACAAAATTATATCATGCACGATGTATTGTGCAATATTATAATAACATTTAGGGCCACCTAATAGATTTTCAGCAGGTTCCGTTATTGCCTTTATGGAAATTATATGATTTTTGTGTTGTTGTGGTCGTTCCGAGATTTTATCTGTTCTTCCTGTTGATTCTTAAAGGGCCCACACACCTGCGAACAAATTGCAAAAATTGTATGGTGTATGGTGTTGTTCAACGTGATGCGCAACAAGTTGTAGAAATTCAAAATTGTTTGAAATTAATTGCGCAACGGATGACGTTGTGCAACTATTGCATCATATATGGGTCCTGGCTCGAGAGGTTGTACAGTTAAGGGCAGGTTTGGACAAGTTCCGCATACGCCACACACTAGTAGTACTGATAATTTTAAAATGGCGAACTTTATAAACAACAAAGACTTTTGGAGCGAATTTATTAATCTATATCGCCAGTTGCCAGAAGTGTGGAAAGTGAAGAGTGATGTGTACAAAAATAGAAACAAGAAGAACGTCGCGTATGAAAAACTAACCGAAAAATTAAAGGAAATAGAACCTAGCGCCGATAGAGAGATGGTGCGAAAGAAAATAAATGTTTTGCGTACTGCGTATCGGAGGGAATTGAAAAAAGTAGTGGCGAGCTATAGATCTGGCACAGGCACCGAAAATCTTTATGAACCAAGTTTATGGTATTTTAAAGAATTAGATTTCCTCAGAGACCAAGAAAGTCAATTACCAGGGACTTCTACCATGGACGAGCCCCAAGAGACTGAAAATGAAGGCAGGGTAAGTAATCAAATCAGTTATTATTTAAATGCTGTTATTATTTTGAAATAATTTATTTAAAAAGTAATATATTTTTAAGCACAACTGTGAAAAACAGATAATTTATAGTTAAGATATAATGTTGTCCTGCCACGGAACAGCTCCAACAGTATTAAAGTAATTACAAAACTGTGCTCTTACTTCTTTTGCTGTTGTTGTACTGTTTCTCCCTTGAAGTGGTTGTAGTGTTTGTAACGTAGGATCTGCTCTCCAATCAGCATTTGTAAACTCTCCGGTATTTATATTTTCAACATCTATGCCGCCTTGGAAGTAACACTCTACATTTTTATGTCGTAAAAAGTTGTGCAAATAGCAACATGCTAATGTTATAGTAACAGCTTTTTCTGGACATAGATTAATTTGACTTAACAGAATTCTAAATCGAGAAGCTAGTATCCCAAATGCATTTTCAATAATCCGACGGCTGCGTGACACCCTGTAGTTATAAATTTTTTCTTCCTTGGTGAGGTTTCTCTTGCTGAATGGTTTCATTAAATTCTCCAGAAGTGGGAAAGCGTCATCCCCTACGAAAACATAAGGCACTTTGGTATTAGTTAAAGGCAAATTTTCCGGTTCAGGAAGGCCCAAGTTCTTTTCTACAAGTTTTTTATAGAAGAAGGTATTTGAAAACACCCCTGCATCAGAAACACGTCCATTAGCGCCCACATCAACCATCAAGAATTCATAGTTTGCATTTACAATTCCCATTAAAACAATACTAAATGAATGCTTATAGTTGAAGTAATAGGAGCCTGTTCCGGGGGGTTTAAATATGTGTATATGTTTACCGTCTATTGCCCCTAAGCAAAGAGGAAAATTCCACTTCGTTTCAAAATCTTTACTTACAGCTCTCCACTCATTTTCACTTTGTGGTAGCTGAAAGAAACATATCGTTAGTGTCATTTATAGAATTGCATCTTGAATCATGCACAATTGAAGAGCCCACTGCAAAAAAGACGAAAGATTTCTTGAAATTCCGCCTTTTTGCAGTGGACTCTTCAATTATTATTTATAGAATTGTTTAATAAAGAAAAGTAGGAATATTATAAACCCATTTTGGCCTTTTATAGGATTCTTCTCGGGACGATGGTAACCCAGAAGCAAATGCAGCAGAAGAGGAAAATCCAGATACTTCTCAAGAAATAGAAATGCCGGAAGCTGCCACAGGACGTAGAGCTCCAAAACGAAAAGGGACAACCGAGGAATCTCAGACCCGAAATGAATTATTAAGAATGGCTTGCCAACATCTGCGTGCTTCCAACAATGAGGTAGACATTCTAGCGAAAAGTTGGGCACTGGAGCTAGTGAAAATGTCGCCCGAGCAGCAAATTCACGCGAAAAAGGCCATTAGCGACATCTTATATGAAGGGCGTTTTGGAACCCTTCACAGAAATTCTGTAACAATAAATGGGCCAAACTCACGTCTACTTTCATACGGATATTCACCTCATACAAGTAATAGTAGTCTATCTCAATCATACCCTCCATCTCCAGTACAAATCACCACTCTAGAGAACAGACCACAACATTCATCCCAATACGTGTACCCATCACATTCAAATAATACAAAAACTCATTACTCCCCAGCTCCGGTACAGATAGGCAGACCAGAAGACCCATATCCAGACCCAGATTTTATTTAAATATATTGTAGTAGGAGAAAGTTGCCCAACAGTCAAATAACTTCAGTTTTTCAGGTTTTATATTACTTTGTTTATTTTTAGTTCATATTATTTGTATTGTTATTTTAATGAACGTTAATAAAGTAATAATTACTTACCTTTATATATTTCTTCAAAACCTTTATGATTGCGTCACAGGTCTCTATAATAATCTTTCCAAGTGTTTGAGCAGCTATTGCTGTTTCGAACTTTAAACCCTCGTAAGTAAGCCCAGAAGTAAGGTATCGTAAAGTTGCAAATAACCTTTGCTTGGGTGATATTGCTTCTCTCATTATAGTATGTTGTTTTTCTATAAGTGGTGTTATCATTACCAATAATTCGCCAAAAGTAGTGGGGTCCATTCGTAAATAATTTTTGTAATCTAGTGGTGAACTCAATTGAAGTTCCTTGAGGAGATTTGCGTGGCTAAAAAGGGATCTTTTCTTCAACCACTCTTTCATCCATACTCTCCTCTTCCTCCTTCTTTTTTTAATACCAACATCCTCGGAGGTTATAGCAATTATTATAGCTAAACAGGCCGCTTCGTCAGATGGCATGTTTCCGTATGAACGCAACACATACAACTGAGGTTTGCATAAAATAGCGCACAGTGTATGGCTAACCATGTTTGTACAACACTTTGTTGCGCAACATCAGGTTGCCCAATATGTATGCAGGTGTATGGGGCCTATTAGAGTCTGCCGACAGAAAACTACGACAACGCACTGAAGATGCCAGGTAAGATCTTGGCGAAACGTCTGCCCCTTCCCAAAGGAAACCAACAGGAAGAAATCTCGGACCGACCACAACAAGACATATGTCTCCATCCCTGAAGCACTACACATTACCTTTATATGACTTTTGTACATACAAAAAGGAAATTTTGAGAAAGTTGAACTCTGATGAGTCGGAAAAAATCGAATTTTCTGTTAAACAAGCTGATTCGTGAGGAGAACTCGTCAAACATTGAAGACAGGAAAATGCCTGCTTATGGAAAATGTTAATACTCTTGGTTTAATGATTTTAATTTAATTCCCGATTAAATCTACAATGATGATGAATGTGGATAGTTCTGGAAAGTTTTTCCAAACAAGACATACGATTCCAGAAAAGAGTGAGAAGGAAAAAAGTTTTCTCCAGCCAGAAGAGTACCATTAAAGTACCTCCTGATGCACTGAATACCATAATACACATAGACCACATAGAGGTAGTTAGCACCATGCATGAGCTGGCCCAATTCGTGGTTCATTCTTATTCTCCACATTCCAGCAAAATCCATACTTAGCATTCTTATCCTTTGTCTTATGTTAGATAGTTGAAAATTAATTAATTTTTGAGAGAG